CTCATTTGACTTAGTTTTCGTAGTTTTTAAGATTCAAAAATTACTTTTGAATTCTTTTAGTTAATTTTATTAAAGTATTTCTTCTATTTAAAAGAACTTAACTCAACGTGACTTCTAAAAATTCTTTCGAAAGATAATCCTTTTTTTTTTATTTGAAATAAGTTTTCAAACACAAATAAAGAGGTCGTTTGACACGACTTTTAAGAAGTCAAAATGAACTTTTAAGATCTAAATCCTCCTTGTGGAACTATTTTGGTTAATTTTATAAAGTTTCTTTTAGTTATAAAATTCCTTTAGAAAAAGTTTAACTTATTGTAATTTTTCTTTAAAAGAAACTTTTTTAAAAGTTAGTTTTCAATCATCATTGACTTAGCTTCCTTAAAAACTCTTATACCAAAAGTGAAAAAAGAAAGTAGAAATCACTCTTACAAAGAGCAGAAGTAAAAATAGAAATTCTTTAAACGAAAACTTAAAACTCTATTTGGTGGTCATTTTTGAAAAAATATTGTTTTAAATAGTAAATTTTTGAAAAAATATTGTTACAAAGAAGGAAAAAATATTTATTTATCTGTAAAATATTTTATGGTGTAAAAATATAATTGAAAATAGAAAAATGCTATAAGTACAGAAAATTTCTACAAAATTTTCAATAGAAAAAATTGATTTTTCTAATTCTACCCACCCACCCACCCACCCTCACCATGTGTCTATTCTGTATAGGCACAGGAATTTACCTATGGCAGGAAAGAACCAAGAGAGAAAGATCGGTAGCCTTAAATCGATTACGTGGCATTTAAAAGATTTCGGAATTATTACCTTACTTCTCCCACAGCGTCCGTTAGATCCACTCTCGGTTGCTGTTTCTGATCAATTTCGTAGCATAGGATTCACATACATGTATATACACGTATAAAGGATACGTGTATATACAGTCACAAATGGCGGAGGAGAGATCGAATGGAGGATGTGTATCGGTGGACTCGATGGAGTTCCGGTGGGTGTATCATCAGGACGAGGAATGGTCGGAAATTCACAACGACGGTAACCACGGCGGTGTCGACGGGGATTCGACGCTGCGTAATTCTGACGATGAGGATAATACGGGGCAGAGGCTGATTCGGACGGGTCCGAGGATTGATTCGTTCGATGTTGAAGCCCTTGAAGTCCCCGGGGCTCAAAAGAATGATTTTGAGGTGAGTATTTTGCTCTTGATTCACTTTGTTAGTTACAACGTGCCTTTTTTTTTGGCTATCTACAAGTATATTTCTAGATTTTATGAGTTTTAGTGGTGCTGCTAGAAATCATATAGTAGTAGTATGAGAGACTTGGAGCTTAGAACTATGAGAAAATTAGCATCTTATTATGATGTTGGAGTATATAGCTAAAAGAAATTATAAGAATGTTGAAATAAAAAAAAACATAATACAAACCTCCATAACTGGCATTATGCCGTTGCTATTTACCCTTTCTTGCTATGGCTCATCATTGTGCTACCATTGTCACCCTGGAAAAAACAACATCATTACCTAAGCAATTGTGTACCTATGTTTATAGCTTAAGGACCTCTGGAACGAATCTCTTCTAAACTGTTGAATTGAAGCCCATTTGCTTGATACTTGTAATGTTGGCCGAGCTTCAGTGGAGCAGATTGAACTAAGCTCTAAAAAGCAAGTCATAATTTATATCAGCTGAGCTTGGATTCATGGATCTTGGTTGTGTGAAGCCCCAATCTCCTGTCAGCCCAAAGCTCCAAATATAAGATATTGATCAAATTCATATTTTTGCTATAAAACCATGGTAGAATAGGAATTTTTTATTGAAATTAATATATATATATTTTAAATAAATTGCTTGCAAGTGATATTATTAACACATTGCATTGTGAATTGGTTGCTGAAGGTGGATGGTAACAAAACATATTTTCTTAATCAAATACCTTTTTAAGACTAGCTATTGACCAAAGACTAAATTTACTTAAATCAGTGGTTTTGAGCTTTATCAAGTGATCTGTAAATGTCACTGGATTGAGGTAGAACTTAAGTACATTATTTAGTGTAGGCGAGACAAATAAAAGCACTGAATTGATCAGAAAACACCATTTACTCAAGTCAAACTTGCCCTTACACTACCTAATATAGACAAGGCATTTTCTTAGGGGTACAAGTACTTGTCTAATACTTTTTTCTGGCATAGTAGAGCTACGTGCAGTTGAGATTATTTTCTACAGACTTTTCTGTAATCCCTGAAAGGGTGAAGGGCTCACTTCTCCTTCCCATCGTCTTGTCTTTCTTTGAATAATCATTCCTTACCGATCACCAAACTCACCGGCCATTTATTCCAATTTCCGCATCATTGAAACTTGAGGCTTCATGTGAAATTTCCATATAGCTGCTCCTGCATCATTTTGTTACCAAAAGTGGTATGGTTGAGATAGTAGATTGTAAAATAAAAATAAAAAGGGCATGGAATACTGTGTTGTTAAATCAAGTGCTTAGAACCAAATAAAAGCAACAAAAAATGAAAGAAGTTTCTGAAGAGCAGTTTTCCTCTAGGCTTGTAAAATAGCCCCACTAGAAAATTATACGTACTTTAGCACCTCAATAAAAGTATGTCCTGAGCAAGTTGTTAAGACACCAAAACTTTCAGAAATCTTGATAAGTCAAAAGTAATCGCAGAACCAACAGTTAATAATCAACCTTAGAGCATTTGGAACTTGATTGTAACCCTCATATCAATAAATAACTGATCCAATTTTGACTCCAGTATTCTCATAAATAGGTGGATGAGTTAGGGATGGACTTTCTGTTTGACTTGCAACTGGAAAGTACATTCATCAAGAAGTCTAGACATGCTTTATTGTTTGAATAGTTGCATTGTGTAACTCCAATATGCACTTTTTCTGTGACATTTTCCCCATCGCCGTCAAACTTAGGAGCCCCCTATTATCTGCGGCTAATGGAGCTACTGTTACAGCAAAAGATGTTTGGATATTAAACAGATTGACTTAGCAACTTTTTTTTTGGGCTCTGTTTGGTACACATTATTTTTTCCATTCTCATTCTTCTACTCNTTGGTACACATTATTTTTTTCATTCTCATTTTTCTACTCATTTTCAACCACACATTTTTCAATAAAATAATATTTTCCATCATATCAATAACTTTTCCTTCATTTTTAACCACACATTCTCCATCAATCTATTATTTAATAATACATTCTTTCAAAAGAATGTGTCCCAAACACACTCTTAATAACAAATAATAAATAAGTAGTGTTTTGTAGAACTACCGCTGCACTTGTGTTTTGGTACATTCCCATACAACAAAAAATGCTATGAGATTGGTGTCCTGATTTGAAAAATATAATGGCAGGATGTCACTTTGAGCAGGAGGATCATACTGACCTTTCAAATGCTAGGGGTTGTCTTTGGTGATGTGGGGACCAGTCCATTATATACCTTCAGTGTGATGTTCAGCAAGGCACCGGTTGAGGTGAACGAAGATGTTCTTGGTGCATTATCACTAGTTTTGTACACCTTAATTCTGATTCCACTTATCAAGTACATCCTTATAGTTCTTTGGGCTAATGATGATGGTGAAGGTATGTTACTTTTAGAGCTTCTTTACAACGTCAATGTGTCAATGTATATGATTATACTCGGCTTGGAATGTAATTCACTTAGCAAATGAGTTTCAATTTTCATAACCCAATTGTGCAGGTGGCACATTTGCTTTGTACTCCTTGATCTGTAGGCATGCTAAAGCTAGTCTTCTGCCCAACCAACTTCCATCAGATACTCGCATATCTAGCTTCAGACTTAAAGTGCCATCACCAGAACTGGAGAGGTCTCTAAAAATAAAAGAAAGACTTGAGACTTCTCTGACAGTGAAAAAGCTTCTTCTGATGTTGGTTCTCGCTGGTACTTCTATGGTGATAGCTGATGGTGTTGTTACACCTGCGATGTCAGGTACTTATAGCAGATTCAGTTTAGTGCATTAGATACCATCGGTGGAGAACTTGGTGCTTTTGGTAGACTATAGGAAAGAGGGAGTTTGGCTACTAAGTGAATTTTGTTCCAACACTTGGTTGATAGCTTGAAGTTGATGTCAATCTTACTAATATCTTTTGCAGTAATATCTGCTGTTAGTGGCTTAAAGATTGGAGTTTCTGGGGTAACGCAAGGTAACTATTTCTTTATAATTGATTATAACCAACAACATATGTATTTAGGACATAAGAGTAGGATTTTTGTTTGAGTTGCTCAATTCTTTTGCTATTCATAAAGGTCTGAAGTTATTGTAGTCTTTTTGCACTAGTAAAACTGTGGGATACTGGGATATAAATAATCTGATGATTACATTTCCTTTTGTGGATGGGTAACTAACATTAGGATGGGGTTTCTAGAAATGCCAATGTTGTTACTGTGATTACCTGTTGAATAAAAGTTAAATTTACTGATTAAAGACACATTTTCATTTTCACGTCTAGCACATGCCAATTTTTCTGATGTAGCGAGTGATTGTTTTTAATGAAAAAAATGCTGCAATACTAATTATTTCGGAGAAGATTGGAGAAAATGCCTACTGAGGAAGTTAAGATGTTTGTCTGGAGGTATCATAAAACACATCCTTTATTGTTTAACTGATGTACGGGGACTAAAGCTATGCTACTTAAGTATTTGTTTGGCCAGCCAGTCTGATTGCTGACATGCTAATGATCTCAGCATAGTACTTGAATAAATTTAGACTTATTAACTTAGAAGATAATAACTGTAACTGTGAATTACAAATAAAATACCTAGTAGAAGATTTTTGGTAAGAGAACATGTAACGTTACATTTACTTTGAAACTTGTGTGATTTTATCCATATTCATACTAGTTCTGACTACAGTGTAGCATACAAAGCCAAGGTGATAACCGAGAGGTATTATTTCTTTGCACTGCAGAGCACGTGGTGATGATCTCGGTTGCATTTCTTATAATCTTGTTCAGTGTACAGAAATACGGAACGAGTAAAGTGGGGCTCATAGTAGGTCCTGCCTTGTTTATATGGTTTTGTTCTCTTGGGGGCATTGGCATATACAACCTTGTTAAGTACGATACACGTGTCCTGAGGGCATTTAATCCGGTTCACATTTATTATTTCTTCAAACGCAATTCTACCAATGCTTGGTACTCCCTTGGGGGCTGTCTTCTTTGTGCAACAGGTAAACTTTGAATTATGGAACCTAACGGATACCTTGAAAGGAAAATATGCATTAGAGAATTCATTGAGTTGTTTTTTCAACTCTCGTTAATGGATTCCATGTTAGTCTGGGAGTTAAACTTGCCTTTTGTAACTGTTGTAAAATCGAAGTCCATTATTCCAACTGCAAGTTTTATGACTTTTTGTTTCTTGGTTTGGGGTGGTGAGGCACAATCTCATGGATAGAACATAATTAGGGCGTGTTCGGTAGAGATTAAAATCGGATTAAAATTGAAAAACTAGCCGTTATTGTTGACTTTTATTGGACGAGGGGGACCCAATAACGGCTATATTTTCAATTTTAATTGGATTTCAAGCTTAGCCAAACATGCTCTTAGTTTCTTCTTATTCGCTGAGATATTTTCCTTCATATGTTGTACAATTATCTGTTACAAAATATTAGAGAAGTGTTTGATACTAGATTAAATATTTATGTATATCATGATGACCTTGAAGACTGGAAAGAGGTGCCTATTAGAAATTAACTGCAGTCAATAATGTTAGGAAAATATTAAAAATCACTTGATCTGTTTCTAAGAGAACCTTCTATTGCTCTACTTCAGCAACTTGATCTCCTTATACGAGCTTCTAGGCTGATAGGGTATTTGGTCGTTTTTTGAAACACAATTTTGTGGCTTCTGTTTTGTCCTTTAAGAGTAGCTGATTAATTTACAACCATGAACACTTCGTGCTTGTCCATAATTGAGTTTTACTTCATCAGTAATATGATACTCTTGGCTGTTTACTTGGACTTATTCTGTTCTTTTTCTTTATTCTATATTACAGTTATTATATATTTCTGATAATCAGTTATGACTTAGGTTCTGAAGCAATGTTTGCAGATCTTTGCTATTTTAACGTAAGATCGGTGCAGGTAAACCAGTGAAATGCATCAGACCTTTTTTTACATAAATGTCTAACCTTTATTTCTTTTTCCTACTATCCTAATTTTTTCTTATGAAGACTCAATTTTGTTGTTGCAGCTTACCTTTGTGTTTCTTGTATTACCTTGCCTTTTGTTGGGTTACCTGGGTCAAGCTGCTTACCTCATAGCAAACCATGGCGAGACAACTCAAGCGTTCTTCTCATCTGTTCCAAGTAGATACATTTTTCTATTTCTCTCCCTTAATATCCACAATCATTTGAATATCATAGATATGTTCACAATGATTTTAAGTTTGAACTTAGATAAGGCCAAAAATATGTCTTAATTATCTAGATAAAACAAGTAACAGTGATTTCATTTTTGCTCGTTCAAGATTGCAGCTTATACAATTTTCTCATATAGTTTGTAATATCAAGTTGTGCTTTTTAATCTGGACTTGAACTATTGGTCCTAGAGAATTGTAAGCATAAAGAGGGATATCTGAGTCTAAATCCTGGATTTTAATTTTTAATTCTGCTACAGGTGGAGCTTTCTGGCCAGTATTCCTCATTGCTAATGTAGCTGCATTGATTGCTAGTAGGGCTATGACTACAGCGACATTCTCTTGTATTAAACAATCAACGGCTCTTGGTTGCTTTCCTCGCCTTAAGATCATTCATACCTCGCGGAAATTCATGGGTCAAATTTATATTCCAGTTATGAACTGGTTTCTGCTGGCTCTAACCCTGGTTTTAGTCTGCACTATTTCAAGTATTTACGAGATTGGAAATGCATATGGTAATTGTTTATCACTTATCTTTGAAGTTGGATCTATTGCCAATATACTTTTATGTAGATTACTTTTAGATTATCAAAGCTGACTTGAATTGAGCTTGATAAATTGATAGAAACTAAAATGTCTTGAAGCTTAGCTTGCTATAAAAGAACTTCTATTGATCAATTTATGAGCTGATGTTTGAGAAGCTTGATTGTCTAAATATAAAAGAAAATAGTCATTTTATGTTAGATTTATATTGGCAGGTTTTGAATTATCTGCATTTTTTATGCTATAGAACCTTTGCATTCAAGATCATCCACTTCTCCTACTTTTTTAGTTGACTGTCTAGGTCTAACTACATCTCCATCTCATTATGAGCTGTTGGAATATAGGGTATGTTTAATATCAGCTTATTTCCATAAAGTAGATGCAATATAGCCAGTTGTTTTCTAGTTCTTGTGATTTTTTATTTCTTTCTAGTAAGTTCTTTTTCTAGTTGTTTTTTGAACAGGCTCTTGTATATTCTGATTTTGCATTGTTTGACAGGCATTGCTGAACTAGGAGTGATGATGATGAGTACGATCTTAGTAACTCTTGTAATGCTTCTCATATGGCAGATACATATCCTTATAGTGCTGAGTTTCGCTATTATCTTCTTGGGGTTGGAGTTGACATTCTTTTCATCAGTTTTGTGGAGTGTGGGGGATGGTAGCTGGATCATACTGGTTTTTGCCATAGTTATTTTTTTAATAATGTATGTCTGGAACTACGGGAGCAAGCTAAAGTATGAAACTGAGGTTAAGAAAAAGATGTCAATGGATTTGCTGCGAGAACTGGGTCCTAACCTAGGAACAGTAAGAGCTCCTGGTATTGGCTTGCTTTATAATGAGCTTGCGAAGGGAGTGCCAGCTATATTTGGACATTTCCTTACCACTCTGCCTGCTGTGCATTCAATGATCATATTCGTGTGTATAAAATATGTTCCTGTTCCTGTTGTGCCTCAAAGTGAAAGGTTTCTGTTCCGACGAGTCTGCCCCAAAAGCTACCACATATTTCGTTGTATTGCCAGGTAAAATCTCCTGTAACTATAGTTTCTCGACGTTTTATATTAAAGTTGTCGCATTTTAGATTTCCTCCTGAAACTCGCATGTCCCTGATTCATCTTGAATGGAATTTTGCTGTGGATAAAGACTGTTTAGATCAAAATTAAAATGGTGCATTATGCTCGTGGATCAAATAAGCATTTCAAACTACTTTGTTTATGGTGAAAACATTCGAAATAACTGATTTTTTTTTTTGTTTTGTTGCATGGGTATTTGAATGTTATATCGTGGAAGTTTAAGATATTATTTCCTTAGCTTATTCCCAATATATCGTACAAACTTTACTTGAACATTGCAAAATTTTAGATTTTGTTTAAATTCTTTTAATGTTCACATCAAAATTTTGCCCATTGACCATTTCAACAATGCATCTTATTACTTGGATGTTCTATTTGTAAAATACAATATTTATATTGCCAAAATATCCTGCCTCTTCCTGACATTGTCATGGCTCCATTAAGTTCCATTCAGTGGTAGGAAATCTCATGTGGCAGTAAGCATATACATTCTTGTTTATTTCTGTAGAAAGTCCCCCGGCACAAACATATTAGCGAGCAGGCTTTTTTCAGGAAGATTACTTAATGTTCTGTCCAACTGTTGCCACTAACAGATATGGTTACAAGGATATCCGCAAAGAAAACCACCAGACTTTCGAGCAGTTGCTGATTGAGAGTCTTGAGAAGTTCATTCGTAGGGAAGCTCAGGAAAGGTTGCTGGAGAGCGATGGTCACGAGGACTCAGATTCTGAAGAACATTCTTTTTCAAACGCTCTAATAGCTCCCTATGGGGGTGGTTATTCACTCGGTGTCCCTCTACTGTCCGATTTTAAGGAAACAACCAAGTCCTTTTCAGAAGCAAGCACTTCGGACGAGCAGTCTGAGATTCCTACCGATCCATCTATTCCTGATGCAGAGCAAAGTCTTGAAAAGGAGTTGTCTTTCATACGCAAGGCCAAGGAATGTGGAGTAGTATATCTTCTAGGTCATGGGAATATTAGGGCAAGAAAGGATTCTTGGTTTATTAAGAAGCTTGTCATTAATTACTTTTATGCTTTCTTGAGAAAGAATTGTAGGAGGGGGGTTGCAAATTTGAGTGTACCGCACTCACAGTTGATGCAGGTGGGCATGACTTACATGGTCTGAAGTCGAGCTTTTATCGTAGAAGGCAGACTTCGTTTTAGCACCAATTCTGAACAGCGCGTTTGGCTTCCAGCAGAACCAAGGGAACTAAATGGTACTTTTAACACTTGTTGATAATGACCAAACGATTGCAAGAAGAGCTGATTTTGGAGTTCGTTTTTAATATTTGGAAAATTTTGTAGTTCTTGATCAGTGCTACTACGAGGATTATTATGATTTGTAGGGGTTCGAAGTCCTTGTAATTACCATGTTCATATCAATGTGGTCTTTGATAGTGTAATTTCTTTTTCTATGCAGTTTTCATGTTTATTTTTGCTTGGTAGCAGACTGTTCCATCTTAACGTTTACGTGCTGTTTGGTAGGAAAATCGTAGTTCATATTTTCCATGTTGGAACTCCTACTGATGCAATTGAAGAGGAAATTTTTATGACTAATAATCCAGTATAGTTTAGTTCTCATCTTGCAACTTTAACATTTTGCCAACAAGTACATCCACAAAATTCGTTAAAACTTCCAAAAAGAATTAGTTAAAAGTGTTTAATCAAGTTCAGATAATAGTGCCTCATTTGTCATCTTTCCAACTCGAAACAAATCCAAGTTAACTTGAGTTACTAGAGAGAACAACATTAGCTAGGAGAATAATGGGATCTATTTGAGCTTTTCAGGCTCTTAAGAATACTTGGATAACCAAATGGTGTCTCTTCCCACGCCCACCAAAGAATTTGGAATCAATTGATTATGATGAATTGGTGATTTCCCTCCTGCGGTGCGACATCATATAAAAGCTGTATTCGGTAAACCTCACTTACAAGCTAAGTTTGTGGTTCCATAATTCCACAGACCATCATCTGGAAGCTGTATACGGGTGCTGCAATCTCTTATTTTCTTCTCTGGTATCTTCATTGTCTCTAGGTGGTTTAATGTATAATGACGATTTGAAAATTTCTCTCTGTTTTGCTGCAAACTTGAATCTCAGAAGTAGCGAGTTTGTCATCACACCAATAGAACTCAACCCCATAAGGGCACCCGCAATTGAAGGAGATAGCATGGTCCCAGTCACAGGCAGCAACGTTCCAGCTGCTATTGGAATTCCTACCTGCAATGAATGAAGAAAAGTAGGTTCAAATACTAAAGAAAGGGTACAGATATCCCAAGAGGATTTTTCTTAGACATGTTAGTAAATTAATTTATACATATTAAAAGGAAATCATGAAAAGAGAATAAGGGAACGAAGAACTTGTATCAAAGACTTTAGGCGGCTGAGTGAGGGAACAAAAAAGCATTTCAATAATTAATGCAAAGTGATGCAAAGCCTGAATACCGCATATGATAACAAACAGGAACAGAAAGAATTCGAAAAGTAACCATGGGAATCCATGTTATCGTTTTTGATCTCGATCCAATTGAATAATCAATACGAGTATCGTTATGTAACAATGATTTGTAATTAGGAAAGAAAATAAAATACGTCATTTTGTTCAAGAAAATAAATTGCAAATGCTATCAACTTACAATGTTGTACGCAAAAGCCCACCAGAGATTTTGCTTGACAGTCTTCATGGTAAGTCTGCTCAGCTCCAGAGCATCAAGTAACTGCAAGGAATGTTCTAGGTTAATAATCTTTTATACAAGGCCTGAGGACTTCTTTTCATCAAGGAAAAGATGGTGGACATCCAAACCCAGATTGTTATGATTCCGTGCCCAAATCAACATATATAATGAGATAAACAAGTAGCAGGCAAGCATACCTGGGACAACTTGTTGTGCATTAGCACAATAGATGACACCTCACTAGCAGCTCCAACACCTCCACCAATTGCAATACCTACATGCGATGAAGCCAGAGCTGCTGCATCATTGATTCCATCACCAACCATAGCCACAATGTTCTGATCCTCCTGAAGTCTGCTAATGAACTTTTTCTTTTGATCTGGTTTGACTCCATACAACACCTGCAACCGACCATTCCATATTCTTTTAGCAAGTGATCTCGTGTGTTTGTGTGTTTCTGGCAGTGTACATGACAAAAGCATGTGCATGTATCATAAAAATCATCTCACCCTTTCTTTTGGAATACCAACAACAGATGCAACATATTCAGCAGCATTCTTTTTGTCCCCAGAGAGCAAATAAGTGTTGATTCCTTGATTAGTCAAAGATTTGACCACTTGCCAAGCATCTTCTCTGATCCGATCCTCGACATAAATTATACCAGCAAGAATACCATCTACCCCCACATAAACGACTGATTGATTCTTAAACTCCTCGAGTTCTTGGAATGGATTATTTTTCACTCCATGCCTGAGTTTACCCAAAAACTCTGAAGGTCAAGAACATGAAATAGAGAGAGGAAAAACAATTTTTTAAGAGAAAATTTTACTTTGATTTACTAAAAGCGAGCTTTTTCATGCTATAAATCAAAAGTACATCAAAAGTTTGAACTTTCACTTTTCTGCCAAAAGAAGTAAGATGGGCCCTTGTAAATGAGTTGATAAATAATATATTGCCTAGCTAAACTAAGAGTGGAGAAATGCTTAATCCGCTCCACTTAGGAACCAAATAAAATTCTTACGTTATCTTTGCACAATTTTTATCTTCATACAGAAGATACCTATTGACCTTAATGTGATATTAGGCTGCTTCACGGATGTTCGCTTCATGGATTCAGTTTCAGTGTTGGATTAAAATTCTTTGGAAATAATAAATAGCGAGGAAAAATGACGTAATTATTTTCTAGTTTTAGAAACAGCGTTAACATATGATGCTCCAAATCCTGCTCCACAAGAATCGTCAGTTAGCCCACTTCTCTGTGCAATCGCAAACATCATGAACGAGAAAATTCCAGAGTAGCACTGATCACCCAAACCTTATATAGAGGTTTGGATGAGTAAAGATAAAAGATGAAAAAGGGAATTGGAAATAGATAACAGAGAAGAAAAAGAAGCGAAATAGAATATATCTTAGTGGCCCTCTATGTTTAGGTATTGGAGAAAAAATTCAAACATATTTATTAAATATTTTTAACTCCTCCACATATTCCTCAATTCAAGGAGGAAAGGTAAAATGTCCTCCCTTCCCTTAAAAAAAAGGCCTGAACCAAGTAAGCTGAAGGTCATTTGAAAAGAAAAATCAGAAGAGAAAAGCAAGTGCCATAACATTTTTTAAGAAGACGGTTATGTAATGCTAAAAGTAATGGGGATTCACATTCAAAGATGCAAATAACTGAACGCAAAGATCGCTAATACAGTCTAAGTGGTAAGCTCTAATTTGACATAAAATTCATGAAAAGAGAGTTCAATTGCATTGAAGTTTGCGGCAATCAATCCTGAGATATTATTATCTAAAAAAATCTCAATGAAGAAGACTTGAGACTAACAAAGTAGCGCAAACTCTTCAACATCAAATTTATTCCAAAAATTATTCGAACAAGCAGTCTTAGAATTTTAAAATAAATGTACCAAATATGAATCAAATGAAGTGCATCTCCTAAAACAAAGTGCTGGTAGTATCAAATTAGATATTAAGTTCCAAACAAGAATTAACATCTTAAAATACCTTTCAACCCACTCCAGTGTACCAACGGACACCTTTTTCTCATCAATGGTCGCCACCGCACCAGACCCAGGTTCCTCTGTAAATGTCCCTTCTTCTGCCTAAAACCACAATTTTTTGTAAGAAATTTAAAAATTGCTTGGTAACAAACTGATTAAGGAGAAACCAGCAAGCTGTTAACAGTACATCACACTCAAAATTGATCATAGAATGGAATTAGTTTATATTGTGATTGATATTACACATTATGTGATATCTTACAATAAAGAAAGGGAGAGATAAATGTGACATACAAAAAATATATATGGTCATTGATATATGCTGGACTTGAGCAATATAGAGAAGCATTTTCATCCAAGAGATCAATCAAGAACTTGGCAACGTGGAAGTCTGGAAGTAGGTTGGTACATTTTCGTCATTTTCCCACCAAAATCAGTTATGTTGGCTGAAGCATTTATCTATGAAATGTTCAGTTTTCTCTTTACCCCAGACATGGAGGATTTTAGACTACAATTATACGAAAGGGTTCCATTGTGCGAACATACTGTAAGCAGTGCAGGTAATAAACAATGCCATTGAAATCTAGTAACTAGGAACTGAACACTAAAACAAGTCACAAAAATTTCCCCGGAGTTTAGCCTATAAGACGATAGACGTTCATGTTAATATATTTTTATTTATGAACCTCAAATTATTTTGTGCATGAAATAATGATTCCCAAAAATTTCAAATATTAAATTTCCCCGGAGTTTAGCCTATAAGACGATGGACGTTCATGTTGTTAATATATTTTTATTTATGAACCTCAACTTATTTTGTGCAAGAAATAATGATTAAATTAAGTACTTGTTTGGGCTTCATTTCCAAAACTCCTTCTCAACCACACATTTTCCCATAAAATAATGTCACATAAATCCAAAACTTTTCTTTATTTTTTTACCACGCGTTCTCCAAAAAATCACTATTCCCAAAATCTCATTTTAAGGAGCCCAAGCAAGGGCTATGTTTAACCCACATTTCATCCAAGAACATGCCACCGAAAAACTTAGAACCTCAACTCTTAAAATCAGTGTTCTAAAAAGTGTAATGCGCAGCAAAAAAGCAAGGCCAAGCTTCAAGCATTAATGATCCCAAGTTTGCCTAGGCGTAAAAAAGCTATAGAGTGTCTAGGCAGGAAAGCCAACTTTGCGCCTAGGCGCGTTTTTTAGAACAATGTTCACATAAATAGATTCTTCATATTCCGTACAAGCACAACTGTGAAGCAATTTAAGTGCTGGCTGTTAAAATATTATCATGGTACAATTGAAGATAATGCAAATGACAAAAGGAGCTGAGTTTTTATCAAGGAGATAAGTTATCACACGAATAAAAAGAAGCTACTTAAAATGCAAAACAAAATAGTGAAGAGTTAAATATTTCTATTGTACAACATAATTGGAAAAAACTTAAAT